CCCTGCGGTCTACAGCGGCCCGGGGGAGTGGGGCACTAGGGGGCGGGGGGACTGGGTGGGATGGTGGAATCGGGCTGGTTGGGATGGTGGACTCGGGCTGGTTGGGATGGACTCGGGCTGGTTGGGATGGTGGACTCCACGACTGTACGTGGCGGATAGCTCAGGGTGGGGGTTGGGGGCAAAGCGTGGGCATCTCCTCGCGCAATTCGCCACCCGGCCCGTGCCCGCGTTTGTGATTCCAGATAATTGGCAAAAGCTGTGGAGCAAAACACGTGACGAGGGCAACACCACGCGAGTCGTCACGTGGAGCGTGTTAGCGGGCTTGCTTGTTTTCCATTCGCAGGTCACGGGGTGAGAGTGAACTCGGCTCTCGGCGAACGTCACCTCGGCGGGCGAACGTCACCTCGGCGGCCGATCGAGCTGTTCCATCGCCACCCCGCCGCCACCGCCTTACTCTCTGCCTTGCCCTTCCCCGTTTCCGCTTGCCCCGCGGCACGCCCCTCTGCCCGTGCCGTGGCCCCCACAGGAAGGACATGAGCGTGCGCTACCCGGACGAGGCGCCCTACTCGCTGCCCGAGCTCGGCCGCTTCCTGGTGCGGCACGCGAGCGGCGCGGCGCGCGAGCGGCTCGCGGCCTCCACGTCCAGCGGGGAGCAGCAGCAGCAGCAGCAGCAGGCACGGCCGCCACATGCACGGCTCGCAGCTCTCACCACTCGCACCACAATCACTTGCATAGCACTCAAACCGCACTCACTCGCACCACTCTTTATCACTCGTGTAGCACTCACTCACTCGCTCTCACAGCACTCGCCACTCGACAATGCTCGCAGCACTAGCTTACAATACCACTCAACTCTCTCACTCATCCACACTCGCTCTCGTTCACTCACTCTCATTCACACGCTCGCCCTCTCACACCCGGGGACGTAATCTAGCGGACCTCCCACATGGACGTCGGTCATAAGTTAAGATTCCTCAACATGGCAGCGTCTCAAACTCTGTGTCCTCACTCCCCAGCACGCGGCGCGGCCTCTGCACATGTCTAACGGAATACCGATCACGTGATGGACCCACGAAACATCGCGCACGCTCGGTGACTGATAAACACGAGAAGCGGCGCGGCGGGGGCCGGGGGCAGTGCGGCCAGGGCAGCTTCTCACAGCCTCGAGCGCCGTGTGGCCGGCGGCTGATGAATCGAGCGGAGTGTGGGTGGGAGGGGGCGTTCACAATGCGCCACTATTCTCAATGCCTCGCAGGCCATTCTGGTTCCATTGCGCGTGCGGCGATCAGCGCGGCCATTATTCCGTCGGTGCCCACGGCTCTTTTTGCGTGCGCATAAATCACCGCCCCGTTTCTCCTCGAGCTGTTTAGACTCCGCTCAAATTGCTCCGTTCGGAAACCGCAAACAGGAGGTGGGCAACTCACGGGGGAACCGAAGCTGCTCGGCTTGGTGGCACGATAATTAATGTTTCATGATCTTCCGAGATCCCATTTCCTGTTTCATCTCTCTCTATCTGCCATGTCCTCTGACCAAGGGCTTATATCTACACCCCCAGTGAACCTCCGCTCAATGGGAGGTTAATCCTTTTGCACTGTCCCTGTCATTTAAATTCAGGCTTTGGAATTCCTTCGTTTGCCTCCAATTACCGCATTTCCATTCTCAATTAGTTGCCACAATCCGGGATCATCATTCGATGTTGGCAATACAGTCTCTGGGGCCTTCTGCGGTGGTAGCAATGGATTTAAACCGGCCAGGTAAGCCTGACAGGCGAGAGCGAGCCGCTCGCAATCGGAAGGTCGCGACGTCAAATTCCGGTTGGATGTTGATTCAGCCCATCATCTCTCAACAAAATAGGTACTGCTCTCTGTTGGGAAGTAAACTAAAAACCACACTCAAACTAAACCATTTTGATTTCACCGGGTAAGGCCCACCTCTTTTTCAGAAGCGACTTGGCTAACACAAATGATAGCTCAACGAAGTGGCTTGTCATGTTGAAGTTTATAGCAGCCAAATACAAATGCACGTTCATTCTAAATGTGAGGGAAAAACCGGCTGCCTCGGAGAAAAATCTAAACTACAACAAGGAGAGACACGCAAACTCGGCGGGGGTCGGGGATCGAACCCACGACCTCCTGTATACCAGGCGAGGTAGTTAACATCTCCTAGCCACCGTGGCGCCCCTCTCGCCATCGTAACAGTGATGGTCCTGTGGATAGACTCATCCCTGCCATAGGGGATGTGGAATTTCCAGCACTGTCTCAGTGCTGTAAACAGGACATCACCGGAGCAGGAAATCTCCGCTGAAATCCATTGGCACCTCTGCGGCAGCACCCGAAGCCTCCCAAACCGTGCGTGGCCCAGCCTCGCCGCTGTCCTGGACATCACCAAGCCTCAACCCCCAACCCCCAACCCCCCCCCCCCCCCAGCCACTTAAAAGGAATACGCAATCCAAGACTCGAAAAGAGCTTTCGTCGTTTCTTGGGCTGCAGGTCGCCCCCGCACCATGGAACACACACACAGGCCAGCTTGTTGCACCGGGCTGAGCGATCACTGCAGAACATGGGACAGCAGCGCTTAGAATGGCAACAGCAATGTTTTCTTCATTAATGAGAAAAAACTTAATTGTTCTAAAGCCAGTAAACTGTGGGGAGAGACGGGGGCACCCTGAGGTCCCAGCGAGGGCTGCGAGCCGCTCGACCGTGCCGGTGACAGTCACCGGAATCTGGCGACCGACCGTCTCCAACCGCGACTCTCTGCGTTGTCGCCCCCCGCCCCCCCCGGCAGGCCGAGCTGCACCAGCAGCAGCGCGAGGCCGGGCGCCTGCGCGAGTCGGCGCGGGTACTCGCGGCGACCGAGTCCCAGCTGCGAGGCCGCGTGTCGGCGCTGCGGCGCGAGCGCGGCCGTCTGCGGCGCGACGTGCGCCGCCTGGGCCGCGCGGCGCACCGTCTGCGGCAGCACTGGGGGTGGCTGCGGGGCCCCGGCGACCTCCACGGAGACCTCCGCGCAGACTCCCCCGGGGGGGATGCGGCGCTGGCGTTCCAGAGCGCCGTGCGGGCCCTGTCGGCCGAGAACTCGGTCCTCAAGCTCTACATCGCCGCCCTGGAGAGGAAGGTGACCGCCCTCCTCGCTCGGCAGCAGCAGCAGCAGCAGGAAGGCGATAGGCGGCAGAACAAACGGCAGCACTTTCACGAACATTACCAGCGGCATCAACGGCAGCTGCAGCAGCAACGGAAAGAGCTGCAGCAACCCCAGCAGCAGGTGCCGCGTGGGCAGGACAAACATCACAATCATTACGAACGGCGTTGGCAGGAAATTACAGATCGGCGAGAAGATCGGCAGGAACACTGCCGCAGCCGACCCGAGCAGCAGCAGCAGGAGGAGCAGGAGCAGGAGGAGCAGCAGCAGGAGCAGCAGCAGGAGCAGCAGGACGCTTGCGAGTCGCGGGACGGCGACCCCGGCGAGCGGCGTGGGTCTTTGCTCGGCTCGATGGTCATGCACGCTGCGGCCGACGGAGCGGCCGACGGAGGCACCGCTGGGCAGTGCGGCGCTGGGGATTTTGAGAGCGCGCAGAGAAGTGTCGAGCCACTGGACGGCGCTTGAAGGTGTCAAACTAAGGGTTCGGAGTGCACGCACGAGGTCTTGGAATAACTGCTCTTGCGCGGCAGTGGCAGGAAGTCTGTAATTAGCAAACAGGTTTGGTGTCTGTTCATTGTCGTAATGAAATAACGATCATTTACAGAAGGGGCCCCATTGAGTCCATGGGGCTGAATGCTAATTTATGTGGCCGATTAAACGGATGCCTTAACTGTTTTTAATTTATACATTTTCTTGAAAGTCCTCAGTTTTATGAGCAAGTGACGATTATCTTAACCGGTCCTGGGCCTCCCCTATGTTGTCTTAACCTCAAATGAGTACCTGGTGAGGTGTGTAAACATCGCCACTGGGGAGACAAAGGCAGTCAGGCGTGGTGCTGGCCACCCACCCGCTAGTGTGCCGTGCCTTTTTATAGGTGCTCGCTAACAGCACTTGCCCCAACAGTTTTAAAGCTATACAGGGGATTTTCGTTAGTGTATGCACAGTGTGAAGCAGCTTCAAGTATACCAGTTCCCAAAAGGCACAGGATTCTGCTCGAGATGACGCAAATCCAGTCGTGACTCACAATTTAATTCCAGATCAATTGCAAGGTGCGTCACGTAAGTGTGCAAATTCTACATGGACCACTCTGGCCATCTCTCGCGGGGCCCCTCTCTCCTCATTAACTCTGCTCCAGCAATCATCAGGGGCTTCCCAGTGGTGGGATGTTGTTTCTGCTGCTGCTGGAATTCCCACGCCCTGCTAACGATGTCCAAGCTGAAGACCTTCCAGAGCTTATCTGCCTTTTTGCTGTATGGTAATTGACCTCTAAAATCACTGCTGCTGCCCCCCCCCCCCCCCCCGCTGCACACACCCCCCTCCTAATCACTCAAACCCTGCCTGGTACGACCTCCTGCTCTGTACAGGCAGTAGTGCATATGCAGTTTCATTGACACAAATTTCCGTGTGTAAGCACGAGGGAAAGGACTTCTGTGCTCGACTCGTTAGGCAGGCAAGGCCCACACCATGCACCCTCCCCCCTCCCCAAGCCGGGTGGGGCAGAAGGAAACATTCCACAAGGCCCACCTCGTGAGTTGTGACAACAGCTAGGACCCACCCAGGAGGATGCAACTCCAGCGTGCCAACGTTGAGGCAAGATTTGTTTATCAAAATCTTTCCGGGGAAGGGAAACACTGCAGTAAGGATGGAGGTTTTTTCATGTTTAAGCCCTTTTATTTTGTCAAAGGTGTTGGGGGGGGGGGGGGTCAACTATTCCTGCCACTGCATAGCCTGTGGTGCTAATCCACCCAGATGTTTAAAAGCTTTTTTTTCTGCTTCTTACTCGAAGCCATACTTTACAGAAGGGGACAAAGTTGCAACATGTTGATTCAGGGAAATGTGCATAATAAAATAAGTACACAAGCCAGTTTGACAGTACTTGGGGATTTTTATTTCATAATTACCAATCATAAAACAAGTTCATTGCCTCAAGAAATGGCCAGCCTCTGTCTCGCGTGACCCTTTATTGCTAAAAGTATTCAGTGGATGCTCCATTCACATGGCCCGGCAACAACGCTGGGGATTAACACCACAACATCACCTTGCACATGCGGCACGTGACAAGTCACAAGTCGAGCAGCTCCAGTGCTGCCCTGTTGCCCGCCCTTCAAATGCTGGCTTCTGAACGCCACTTCCGGGCAGATTCCTTCGCGGGGATGACAGGGACAGACAATCACAGCCAAGCTCGACCACCCAAATCGGATTCATCCATTCAGATTTGCCCCCAGATACCGTGCAGATACTCGGTTCGTCTGCCCCATTCAATTCTTTACGTGAGCAACACATGCACAGATTCATGCACGCAAAAAAGTGATTTTCCATTGGAGACAGACACGTCCAGCTAATAACATGCCCCCACAGCCATCATGAGACTGCCTCATATGCACGTGTGACTCAAAAAAATCGTTCCCTATAACAAGTATCACGACCTTCGCGACTCCCATCTCTACAGCATGGACAAATTCATGCACAACAACTTACAAGCATTGAAGGGAATGGGGACACATTTTGTATACAATAGATGCTCGGATCAAGCAGCCTTCAAGCAGGCATTTCCCCTGAACATCCACTTTATCCGCAGGATACGGGCACCATTATTTTGCTAATTGTTAACCAACCAAGCACTCACCTTAAAAAGCAATGACCTCAAGCTATGGTGTGCACGTGCCGCGTGGGTTAATGTTCCTTCTTTACACACAAAGGATCTCAATTACAACAAAACGAGTTTATAATACGCTCCCTTATGCCCATCACATGCACTGCTTTCAAATTCGCTGGTTAAGACTGGAAACCGAAACCCGTTATATCCCAGTCCAGCGAGGTTCTATTGAACGATTACCGTAGCCCAGCATGCGTCCACGCGGCCAATCCCGGTTCACAGGAGACACAGCAGGGACTCGGTGTAACACACACACACAGCGCGCGTGTGCATTCAAACAGAACCCACATTTTTTTCCCCCCCATCGAAACAACTTGAGATAAGTGACCAAACAGAATGTACGCAACAAGTCTCCGTGAATGCAAAGTGGTCGTCTTCAGCCGCGGTTCTCTTCACATCAGATGCGGATTTTAATGTCAATCCACCAACGCCAGGAGTGGCCGCCTCCCATTGCCACGGCTCCACCTCGGGTCGTTACGCCCCAAGAGCAGAGGCCGCACGTTTCAGAGCCGTGCCATTCATCCCTGGCTGTTGAACGCCCCCCCCCCCATCCTCACCCGCTGTGAAGGGGGTTACAGAGGGAGACGGCCTCCAGCAAACCGCATCCATGACAAGAACCAAAAGCGAACAGCCCTGGCCCTGGGGGAAGGACCGTAATATTGACACGCTCAAGGTGGAGGCGCCGGACACGGGTGCTGGTTGTTTACGCCGCGGGTCAACCTGCTCCCGATCCCTCTCCAAAACGCCCGTTTGAGCGAAGAAGTGAAGCGCACAGTGCAGCCCGTGGGCACGGAGCAGGCACGTCACTTGGTGCCACCCGAGGGGAAAAACTCTGCAGAAACTTGTTGTTTTTGGTGTCTGGCCAGAGATGGCACGGGGGATGTGATGATCATTGAGAGCGTTATCACCATTGACCTTACTGGCCATATAGCTTGGTAGCACTTTGCATTTTTCCTATCTCAGGTGGTACCAATGTGTGCGCTGGCCCAAGGACGGAAGCCGATGGGGCGACGGGCAAGTGAATGGGGGGTGGGAGGGGGGTGTAAATAAAAAGCCGAATTTTACATTAAATCCCAGTGGCTGCTCGTCTGTTCAGGCACCGCACCAGAGTTCTGTTCCTGGCCACAGGCGACAGTGACGGGCGATATCCGAACCGGTTCTCCGACAACTCTCTCCAACCAGCCCGGTGAAGTATGGCCAAGCAACCCACATTACCCAATTACCAAACGGGTTTCAGCCGCAACTCGGACCAACGTGAATCCAAGTGCTACCCCGGGTGTCCAGCGAGCAGGAGGCTGGCACTTGGGCAGGTGGGCGGGCACGTCTGCCTACAGACCCTGGTGTTGCCCCATCCGAAACGGATTTATAAACTTACCTACAGATCGCATCGGTCGAATCCAATTTTTTTTTTTTATTCCAAAAAAAAAAATCGCACAAAGCACTCGCGGACGAGGAGCTCGTGGTGGACGACGCCGGCCCGGGCCCCCGCTTACCCCCATTCACAGTCACAGGGTTATCGTTGTAAACGTGAGGGTAAAACAAACCGCAGCTGCGGCACCACCACTCCCCTGCAGTGGGTGGGGGGGTGGGCAGTGGCTCAAGGGAGGAGCGATTCACATTTTAGATCCCCAGTCGTTGGGCGAGACGCTCGTTAGCGGCCTGTGTATTAACACAATCGGGGCCGTTAAAGTTAGCGGGGAGGGGGGGGGGGACAACACCACAGGAACGAACGTAAAAATAAACTCGCGCTGCCGACCCAGCCTCTCTGGGGGTTCAACCAGAAAAAAAATTGCGCGGTGAGGATCAGCGGAGCCAACTGCCGTGACCTACTTTGAAAGGCCGGGTAGGTGTGACCACGGCCTAAATGAGTGGCCTTCACCACCCCCCCCCCCCTGCACGCACTAATTAGGAATGATAACGATGAAAGTCCGCGGCAATGTTTCGCAGGGTGACAATGCAAACAAGGCTCGCGCGTACGTTACCCTTGCAGATAAAATCAATTGTATTTCCCCCCTCCCCCCTCACATTTCACCAGCTGCCCCACTTTGTTAATGACGATGCTCGCGCTGCGAAACGTATTCTCTGCGGCACGGAGGCGCAACGATCGACGTGGGGGGGGGGGGGGTTACTGTGAAGCAGCATACACGAGTTCACTCTTGTGCACTACATCCTGACAGACAATTGAACCATCAGCAGTAATTTTAAGGGCGACTCTCGACGATTCATCCTGGGACCGGACACCATTCGTTCTCCTGAATGTACTTTTAGATTTGCTTCATTTCCCTACTCAACTCATGCAGCGTCATCAATAGTTCGAAATGTGTTGTCCATTAATCCATTTGTGAAAGACGGTAGCTTGGTACAAGATACAAGAAAAAAGTATCGTTTTTTTTTACTTAATACACAGCACTATGTGAAATGATTGCACGGTTATTTTCCATTTACTACGCACACAAGTGGTATTTAGGGACTTACAACACTGGCTCCGGAAACCTCGCAGACCCTGGACAGAAATCAACAATTGTTGCACCCAAAGGGCACCGCGGAAACTGGCGCTAGCCGCTCAGCCTGGTCCTGGCTTCTGTGGTTGCGATCCCTGTGAAGGTCGCATCACATTGCGACCGCCGACCACCACTGGAGCCCCAACCACCCTCATTGGCGCAGCCGCGCTGCCTTTTCCCATCCGTCCCCGCAGCGGCAACGTGCCAAGGGAAGCCGTTGGACCGTCCGCTGGGCGACCATCGCGCGCGGCCGTGTCGCGCATGCACCTCGGCCCGGTTTGCGTGCAAATCCCACGGACTAGTCGCTATTAATGTTACGGCAACGACATTAAACACTGCCCACACACTTTTTTGTTTGTATGCGAACACCGACACTTTTAGTAGCAACATCAACACTAACGACAACACCACAAGCAACACCAAAACCGCCATTATCACCGCAACATGGCGCTACGCCTACCTCTGCCAACGCAAATAAAAATGCACCCGTCACAAATGTACACACGCGCGGGCGAGGCGCAGGCAAGATGGAGTGGCATGCACCGGCGCCCTCTCGTTCTGATCTCGTCGATTGCTCGCGGCCGAGCGAGGCTTCCCCCCCCCCCGCCCCACCCAACGCTCATCCATGAGTCCACCCCCCCATCACCCCATCACCCCATCACCCATCCGGCCTCCTCAGCTCTTGGCCCCGTTGGCTACGAGCGTCGTCTTGGAGGCGGAGCGCGGGGGACCTTCTCCGTGGCCCTCTCCGGGCGCCGGGGCGCCCGGCCCCCGCAGGAAGGGCTCCTTGCGCGTCACGTAGCCGCCGTCGCCGCCCACGATGCTCTCCTCGTCCTCGGCCGGCTCGGCGCGCTGGCACAGGCGCAGGCAGCACCAGCAGCCGAGCAGCAGCGTGCCGAGCGCCGCCACGGCGATGAGGATCACGATCACCGTCACGACGCCCGTCGTGGGGCTGTGGTCCAGCACCGTCATGGCTCGATGGTGCGAGTGCTACGGGCTCCCGCGGGCGTCCGCTTCTCGGTTGCGAGACCCTCGGTCGCTCGTTCCTCTTCGCCGAGCCTGCGCACGACAACAACAACAACAACGTGTTCAGTGCGGGAGCACGCGGCTGCACCCTCCAAGATCAACCCACAAGTGTCCCTTCAATCCAGGAGGCGGAGGGCCCTTCCCTTGGCCTCCTGCTCCTCCCGGCAGGAACAAACAGCAAGCTGTGGGCACAGTCAAGCAACGGGAAGCGAAACGCACCAAAGCCCAGATTGCCGCAGTTGGCGCTCCTGCGTCTCGGATAAAGGCTTTAAGTGTCTCAGAGCGGCGAGCGGACACTACTGGGGCGCCGGCGACACGGCAGTTCTGGGGGGTCCCGTGCTTCACCCCGACCGGGTGGCACTGCGGACAAAGGTGTTCAACCGAGATCGGAAAGTGTCCCGTTGAAATTCCCGCTGGGGGCCGACTCGGCGCATCAGCTTAGAAGGCACTTGATACAGGTGGCACCACTTTACGTGAATTCGACAGACGTCATCTTGTGGACAAGGCTGGACCCCCAAAAACCACGAAAATGTGGAATTGTCATCGCTGGCGTCGGGGCTGCGAACTGGTGTATTTACAGGGCTGCAGCGGTAATGATGTTTTTAAAAATGTTTAATAATAAGACAGTTCTTCCAAATAACCACTTCCATGACCCCCACAGCTACTACCACAAGGAACAGGTGGATTGGCGTGAACAAAACCCACACTGCCGGTTATTCGGGTTTTATCAAAGCAATCTACAACTTAGGTTTCAGCCACATCACGATTGGTCAACTAAATATGTACACGCATGCAAATCGCCAAATTCTAAATAATCCATTGGAAACATCTTTACTCAATCCGTGCTGGATTACATTGACAACTGACAGTGACTGGGAGGCATTTTTGGTTGCCAAGCCTCAATAATTTACAGGGATTAAAGAGGAAGTGATTACAAGGGGTGGCCTGAATATCACATTTTACCATTGCGTCAGACCCAGAACAACATCGGAGCAAAGGGCTTGAGCCAGAGCTAAATCACTTTTTATACAAGAGATGAAGTCAACAGATGAGCGAATCCGATAAGAATGGATTAGAGCGACAAGTGTGAGCCAAGGCACAGGTGTAGGAGGATGCCAGAGACGCAGACAAGTGATGACAGGTATCGGCAAGAGGTGGACGTGCAATATGCTCCAGAGTAACGAGGGCAATGGCGACGGGACTCGAAGGACCGAGATATACTGGGGGAAAATTAGAAAGCGCGGCTTAAAGAAAAATATAATACCAGCGGGAACAGTGCCCCCCCCCCCCGCCCGCCACTCCAACCCCCACCGAATATCACATGACCACTACAGGCCGCGCGCACTGCGTAGCGGAGGTGCTAATTGAAGCCGAGTGCTAACGTAATCACGTTGCAAGATAATAAAAACGGGCCCTCGTCATTTGGAAAAATTATCCCCTCTCGTAACGTTTTCCAGCATTCGACACTTTAGGCCGGGGACGAAGGTAAACGACGAAAGAAATGGGGGAATCAAACAGAAAGCCGGCACGGTGCACCACAGCGAGAAATCTCAATCCGCCCCAAACGACGAGCGAAAGCGGCGGCGCCAAGCGAAGGGCAGGGGGCGGCCGCTTTGGTGGGGGTGGCCGCCTTCATCAGCAGGGCGCCCCAGACGGCAGGGTCAGAGGCTCGAGTTAGGCGCTGGGGGGGAACTTCTTGTGCGTCTAGGCTGGGGGTTAATTGCGGAGACAGCCCCTCCCCCGAGGACTGGACTTGGTTCCATTTTCAAACCCCCCCCCCCCATCGCCGGTAACGCGACACAGGCACCCCGTGAAGACGCCGCGGGCGGTTTTGCAGCACCGCTCGCTCGCGTCCCCGCTCGGCTGGCCTGGCGCACGCCTCTCACCGTGTCACTGGTGGGCCGCCACCGCCGCACTTGCAGCCGGGAACGCAAGCATGTAGGGGATTAAAACATTTTTTTTATTTTACTAGCAAAGGCCCACTGAGCTATGCGGCTCTTTTTTTCAGAAGCCACAATTGATAGCCCAATGAAGCAGCCTTTCATGTGGAAAATGTATAGCAGCCAAATACAATAAACGCACGTCGATTCTAAATGTGGAGGGAACAACCGGAGGACCCGGGGAAAAATACACGCGATCACGGGGAGAGACACGTAAACCCCAAATGTACAGCAGGCGTCAGGGTCAGGATCGAACCCACGACCTCCTGCATAGCGGGCGAGGTCGTTAACATCGCTACCGCGGCGCCCCGATTGCATCCCCCACGCAGGCCACTCGTGAATCCGAGGCGCGTTCTCTGCCAGGGCCGCACGGCATGAAGCATCACAGGCTGTTGGTACAAGGGTCCGGTTTATTAACAGCAGCAGCAGCAGCGCGTCTGCTGTGACCCTCTGGGGTCAGTTAAGTGTGGCCTTTGCTAAAAATAGTGGCATCGGAAGGACCGACTACTTCATCTCATTTCTTTGATTTGCAATAGCACAACCGGGAGCCAACTAGTGGTAAAATACTAAAGTATACGGACGACTAGAACATGCAGACATTAATAATAACGCTCCGTTTAAGTTTGCCTCCAACGGTTTTGCCCGAAGGATATCTTCTGGTCAGCATTCCTCTACGTTTGGAAGACAACGGCGTGGGGCCATTAACCAAGCATTCTTCTGGTAATCTTTTATTTCGCTGTCATGCATTTCTTGCTGCGACAAACAATTCGAACGGCACAGCACGTTTCCAGAAAATAAAATTCCTAACAGAAGGGAGCTAAAGAGGCCGGGGAGGTGCTTCAGAGGACGGTGCCGAGCCGGACACTGCCGAGAGTTTTAAATCCGTATTACAGCCACCCGTGGTTAAGCGGGTTCGCAAGTCGAGTGAGTTGACGTCATGGGAAGCCGGGGGGGGGAAGAGCCGAGCTCCAACAGTCACGCACCGCCACACCGCAGTGTTCTCAAACACGAGACGATGCGTTGTTTTGTGAGCATTCCCAACAGATTCGTCTCATGAAATGGTGCTGAAGGAACAATATAATAAAACTGGGGGGGGGGGGGGGGGAGGAAACATATATATAGAAAAAATATTCATCAGATGCAGCCAGAAGCTGCCCAAGCATTCGGCGCTTCTGGCCCAAGCTAAACACTGCCTGTCAGGGATTTCCTGCCCAGATCGCTCTGTCAGTTGGAAATGAAACTTCATGATTACCTGCCAGAGCAGCAAGGCCACTTTGACAACCAGGGGATAATGAGGTGTGCGCATAGAAGAATGTGGCAGATCAAAATGAGCACCAACCCATTGCACAACTGAGATAACTTTATCTCCGTTTTATGGAAACACGTATTGCAAAGCAGTAACAACTGCAAATACATTTTAATTTTTTTTACTTTTACCATTTTTATTTACCATTTTTATTTCTCTCCAATCTAACGTACCCGCAGCGGACACATTTCGGGGAGATAAAATGACCCGGAAGCGTGTAACTGTGGCCTTGGGGGTCAGGCAGCCTCGCGTTCTTCGTCGGCTCTGGAAATGGCGTTGCGCAAATTAAGCGACGCCACACGCGGGAAGGGGGGGGGGGCGCTGACGCAACGCTGCCGGCGCTGAGCTGCTGAGCTGCGTCGTCTCGCTGGAGGAGACGCGCGTTGCACAACCCTGCGAGAGCGCTTCTCTCCCTCCTGCACCCTCCAAGGGAAATCTCGCGGCTCAGACCTCACTGACGAGCGAGCACCCCCCCCCCAACTCCCCCGCCGTGCATCTTCCTTGCGCCGCCGAGCGGACGACCGATTTGACGAGCAAAAGCAATTCTCCAAAGGCAAGATAAATAATTGCGAGTAAATTACGCCCACAACTAAGTGTAAGCCGTGTTTTTTTTTTTCACGCCCCTCAATTAGATTTATCGCGTCGGGACCGTTCTGGGGAGGTGGGGGGGGGGTAAGTGGGTGGCCGTGTCGCGACTCGTCTATAGAGTTGGTTCGTTTTGTTTTGACTCGTGTTCCTGACGCCGCAGCGAAGCCCTGCAACCATTCCGCGCTGAACAGGCCAAACCAGCAAACGCTTTGAAGGGCGCACAATGAGATCCTCGTTTCATCAGCAGATACGAGCGGATCCTGCCCGCGCAACAACTCGCGCCGCTGGGGCATTCTGCGGCGTTCATCCCCCGTGGGGGCGTCGCACCCAAGCACGGCGAGCGCCGGCTGACCATGAGCGAGGCACACAAATGGAGGGGGGGGGGGGAACCTCGCGGTGTGTCCCACGCGCGTCGATCCGCTGCTGGATGAGAGCCTGCCCCCTTGCTCGCCGTGCGGTTACTTGCTTGTGCTCCACCACGCGCTGGTCAGTGCAGGGCGCCAAGCGTCTCCGTATTCAAAGGGCAGAAATTCAATCTCGTTGCTGTTGATAAGCAGCCAAAGCGCTCCCCCCATTTACAACGATCCAAACGCTAAATTATTCAATTACCTTGCCCCAAGCTTCAGCATTCGTTGGGAGCGCAATTGACGGGAGTGACTCCTCATGTGCGGATGGGGTACGTGACGGTGGCCGGGAGAGGTCGGAGGTCGTCATCTCCCGCGGTCAACGATACCGCAGCTCGAGAGGCGGCGATCGTTTGCGAGCGACGTGCACGGCTTCGCGTTCGTGCCGACATGCAAAAGGACCCACTGCACCCCTACGCAGCTCCACAACAGCTCGTGGAAACGTGTTCACACTGTAGAATCACACACACACGACGATGCAAATGCGCCACTGGATATTCTCAAAAGGGGGTTATATGCCAATGTCTGTAGCGTGTACGGGATTGTAATTTGTCGTCATTATGTACGTGGAATTGCTTCCGCACTTGTACGCGCAAGTTTGCGCGTGTGCAAACGTACACGCAGAGGCGTGCTGCGGTGAACCGCGCACACTGTGCTCCACGCTATGGGCCCTACGTGACGCACGGGCGCCCTTGGGCGAGCAGCGGCGTCCGTCTCTAAAGATAGAGAGGCAAGGGCAGTGAGAGGCCCGTGTAGGATTACTTCTTGTGGACATTTAGAACCGCTGTAAACGTG